TGAATTGGTACCCACAGCACTTATAGTTGTCCTCCTAAAGTACCAGTGTTGCCATAGACCATGTACATTGACAAGACAACTTTTGCCATCCATCTGCCCAGTGCCCATTAATCTTCATGAGACATCAGGTGAATTGATACTACTACGCTGACAACTCAACCATGACTCTTCTCTTTTAATTCAGACTAAGTTACAGCTCTTCACAAGAGGAAGTTTATTGTATGGCATACATGACACTGGAAGTAAACATGACACAGCGGAACAAATTTCATTCCAAATGTGATCAGAAGTTGGCAAATTAATCTTCAACATATGTCACCTTACATGCCAACATCTGAGGTTTGGGGAGGGAAAAGCATTTCCTTATAATCCCTTTTAAAGGGGATTATAAGGGATTTTTAAAGGGGTTATGGCAGGTGTCATGCTTGTTCCTTTAAAAATGCCTTCATCCCCTGTCCTACATCCGTTACATGGTCTAAACAGAGAAGCTACATTTTCAGATGGATTTTTAACTTGAAATATTAAACAAAACGTTATACTGATACCCATGAGTCCTCTGCTCTAAAGCAGCCAGAGTGTTTCCAACTAATATTTTTTTTTTACAAAGAGTTTAAGGAAAGAGAAACAGGTTGGGCATGAGTTGCAGCACTTGAAAAGATGGAAGCTACTTAGATAAATACAAAGCTATGGCCTGTGAAGAAAACTGATGGAAATATTCAAAGTATCATTAGCAATCACACCTTGTTAACAATATGCAGGCACTTGGGTCAAAGAAGGCTTTGCATGCTAGAAGCCGTAATCTGCACAAGCTCTAAAGATGCCTTGTTCCACATGAGAGCAGCTCTGTAACTGGAGTAGGAGTGGGTCTTCTCTCACATGTAGGGGAGTGCCTGAGCATACAACCTCTGGTTTACAGTCTAAAAAAATGCAGACATAGATTTATGTAGAGCAGAGAGGTGAAGCCTCGCTCAGTTTGTGGGCTATCAGAGAAGAGCTGGTCAGGCTCCAGATGGCCTTTGGGTTGTTGCTTTACATCACTTCATCAAACAGGTAACACTGGAGCAGAATACGCATTTGGTTCTTTATCAGAGGAGCTTCAGGAAGGTAACTTAAAATCTCAGGGAAAGGTCCAGTTAGCAAACAGAGTCCTCTGGGAGAGGATGCAGTGGTTACTGCTAGAAGTCCTCGTATTTTCCAGAAGGAACTTACATTTATAAGAACTGTCTCAGAAAAAGAAGTGAGCATGTGTTTTCCGAGTTACGTTTGTCTTGATAATTTCATGTCAACAAGCTATATGGAAGATCGCTGTTTATAATAAGAGGACGCTTTTATTTTCATGTCTCTATTCTATGTAGGTTATAGAGGACAGAAAGGGGAAAGAGGCGAGCCTGGAATTGGACTGCCCGGTAACCCTGGACCACCCGGCCCTGCAGGTACAAGTCTCCCGATTTATTTCTGCTATTGTTATTTATGAACTAACAGGCCTTTCTCCCAGTTCTCATGAGCGTGGTCGTAGCGTGAGGTCAGACCCCCACCTGCCTTCTCGCGGAGGAGCTGACGGTCAGCGATGAAACGCGGGGCACTGCAGGCGCTCTGGCGAGGACTCTGCTAATTCTAGCTTTGTTTTACCAGCTACTGGCCTGCCGGGCCCACCGGGGACACCAGGCTCACCCGGACCGCAGGGGCCACCCGGACCCAACGGAAGATGCAATCCAGCAGATTGCTATTACCATATATCACAGACTCGGTCACGCACCAGCGGGAAATAAAAACCCTCTCCCGTAGACACTTGGGTTCACAGTCACTTTTCACTCCTATCAATAAGTTGATTTAATCTTTGAAATACTTGGTGCATTTATTATTTTTTTCCCCTCGACACTGCATGGTATATAGATAATTTATAAGGCACAGAACTGAGCCTTTTTCTATGTTATTTGCAGTGTCATAATTATGAAATGATGACATATATTTTCCAGAGTGCATTCCATGTGTTATGTTTCTCATATTTATTTTGCTTAGAGGAGAAGATAGGCCCAAATAATTTTCATAAGCTTCTTTCTTCGAACAAAAAGTATTTTATTATAACTTGAGACCGTATGTATGCCTCGGTATATAAGATGGCTTTATTTTTATTGCTGGTGGTGAAGTTTAAGTGGAGGAAATGCATTTCTGAAGTTTTAAATCATACCCGTTCATGGCGAACGCAGGACCTGAGCTGGAACGCTGGGAATTCTGTTTAGACTAAACGTTCATGTCCCTCAAGGAGGCTCCGGCACACCTTCGGAACTGGGTCTGTGTTGTGCACCATGAACGCTACCCGCCATTTCGGTCACTTCCTAGATGTCGAAGAAAGAAACGAAGATGTGTTTATGATCTCTCTAACCCCATCCAATGTTTAGCTTCAGGCTGCCTGAAAATTCACCAGGTGGAGCCCCAAGAAGTGTCTCTCCTGACTGGATGTTGTCCCAACTGGGGGCTTGTACATTCATTTAGTCATGGTTACATATACTCTAGATATTAAATTTTGAGGGGCTGGCAGTGGTGTTCCTAGCTGAGAACTGGCACATCTTCTAACCGTTATGTGGACTTAGTAAGTGTGGTATCGCTGCCTGTAACCAAGCTGCTCTGCCATTGTGTCTGCATACAGTAAAGATGACCTTGCTTTAGAGCAGAGGTGGTGGGTACACTGTGAGACAGTCAAAGAAGGAACTTTGCAAACCTCTAATCATACAGATGGCACAGTTTTCCTCTTCCTCCTGCAATAATTGTGTGCCAAAATAAACTAGAGAAGAACATGGAAACAGTAGAACACAAAACTCACAGGTCCTAATAACTGGTTGCAAAAAATTGAGCTCAAGAGAAATTCAGAAAAATTGTGAAACCCTCCTTGGAAAGGCGTACTACAGAGAACATGACTGTGTGCAGTTTGCAGGCATTGAGTAAATCCTACAGGACCAGACGTTGTCAATAAAGAACAAAACAGAAAAAAGTGTAAATTCTATAGAGCTCAAAGGGAAAGAAAAAGAAAAGTCAGAGAAAATAAATCATACAGAGGTTGATTCTGAAAAAGAGGGAGGAGGGTTGGCAGAAGTTTCATTCCCGATTATTGGGAAACAGATGATGCAAGATTAGTCCTAAGGAATTTGGTACAGTGCAATAGAAAGTGCTATTGAGAGAACATGGACAGCTATAATAACCCACAACCTCAAGATAAACCCATAGTACGAAAGCAGTAGTGAGGGCTCTTGCTGCACCATTAGGAAGCCAGTCGTTCTCTCCCGCTTCAGGCTGGTAAGTGGTTTTGGTGATCTCTGTGCTTGGGCGGTACTGAGCTGCCAGAGAAGCGTTCCCAAATTGGAAGTGCTGGGTTCCAGAGAAGCTGTTGTAAAACATTAATCTGGCTGACTGCTGGGTTTTGCTTAAAAACGGTAAGGGAGGAATGGCGGGAGTCTTTTAAAATAACAAAATACATTGGCATTTGTTCTGAATAGGGTTCCTAGTGCTTGTACCCAGACCGGAGCAAGAGGTAATAGAGCTAAGCTGGGCAGCTGGGGGGCACGGGCAAGCCTTAGCCACGCTTTCTGAGCGAGAGAGCATACCCTAAGAGCAACCGCGGAGTGCCGCTTACTGTGGTGATCAGTTAGACGTTTTGAGAGAAGAAGGTGCTTGGCACAAGAGCGGTGATTAAGTAAACACAGCAAAGGCTGAGAGTAAATACTTCAGACAGGAGAGGGCGGCACGGAGGAGGATGGCAGAAGCCATCCATGGTGTACCATGAAACCATCCCCTGAGGGGAATCTGCAAGCTGTAATACTCCCTTGCAGCTGGGGACCCCTTGCGGGGGTCAGGGTGCTTCACCTGTCCGTTGTGAGGATGAGGGTGGACAGGTCAAAGCCTACAGGCGAACCACAGTCATCATGCCTCCTTTGCTGCTCATCCCTTGCTGTCCATCAGCGGTGGTGACTGCCCCTTCTCTAGGCCAGCATGTTCTTCACTCTGGGGGCTGTAGGCCCCCATCCCACTGGGGGGAAGGTACATTTGGAAGATATGGTCCTGCCTGTGCTTAGCTCAAACCACGCTGCTCCCATTCCAGACCTCCTGTGCCCATGGAGCATGTCTTGGTTTGCTCTGTGGCGTTGGCCACCTTTCCAGGTCTGGTCCTCAAAGCGCCGTAGCTGTGGAAGCACTGGGAACCGGTGAGGAGGCTTAAAACCGAGCGCTTGGCTGTCCCGAGGCACCTCCTGCTGTTCTCCGGGCCACAGGTCTGCCAGCCCAGCCGGTAAAGCCAGGGGCCTTCCACCAATGTATATATCAGTGTATATACACCAGAGGGGAATGAGCCCCACGTACTGTTTTCCATTCAGTCAAATGAACTGCTGGTCAGGTGTCTTGCATGAATATTATTATTTTTTTTTCATTGATTTCTTTTTACTTCTTTAGTAATTCCAATGTATGTAAAAATCTAAATATTTTTTTACTTCCTAAGTTAATTTTAAACCTCATTTTCTGTGATAATATGGAAAAGGGTGCTGTCTTGTAAAGGATATCTGCACGAACGAGAGGTTTCCAAGCAGCCCCCGTCCTGGAAGGCTGTACATAGACTATTGCGCCGCGTTAGTGGTATGTGTATATTTTGGGGCTTTTAGCTAGCTGAAACCAAGCAGCTGTTATTTGCCAGATGAAATTGCTGTCTGTTAATTTACTTGAACTTATCCGAAGGCAGAACACTTTTTATATTTGAAGAAGTTTATTTTTTCATCTATGTTTCCTACAGATGCCTTTTTCTTTTTATAGGCTCAAATCTAAAGGTCTTTTAAAATGTATTTCAACACTTTGAATTTATTTGCAGCTAACTTTGGTAATTACCTGGTTGTGGTTTTTTTTATATTTTGCTAAAAGCCCACTTTAATTTTCTCACGTGAGAAAACGGGTATTTTGTTATATGGGCTATCGTGATACGTATTTAAAGATGCCGTGTTCTTCACTGGGATAGAACAGAGTTAATCCCAGCTTATCTTTACTTCACACTGTGTTGCTCCTGCTCTACGCTTTTAGAATTGAAAGCAGAACGTAGGTGGAAACATGCTTCCGCGTGGTTTTCTGGTTTGGCCCCTGAAATTTCTTTGCAGTTTCTGACTGATGTCTTGGGTTTCGGGAAGGGGGCCAGGCAGGGTGGAGGGGTGCAAATCTATTTTGCGATTTGCTTTATCAATTTCGTATCTGGTTTGAGCAGTCTGTGCTGCATTGTAAGGAACACGGAGGATTATTTTTTTCCAGTAGCATAAGGTTTTTTTTCTGATTTGGGAATGTTTATGTACAACAGGACTTTGAACTGAAATATCTTTGGCAAAATGTTTTAAACCTTTCTTAAAAGCTCTCTAAACTTTGTTCTAGTTCAGGGTCAGACTGTTCTATTTTATGGGAAATTGCTTTATCACGTCCTAAGAACATGTTGGGATTTTCTTCAAACGGCTATGTACAGACCATTCATTTTGCTTAAAGAAAGTAATAAACTTGGTAAGAGGGCAACTTTTCTGAGGCTGCAACATCCCTCCTTTTGTCCACACGGTGGAGTTCAAAACATCTTTTCAGTGCAAAGGATAAAGCCCAGGCTGAACTCGCTCAGCAGCGCAGGAAATGTCCCAGTGCTGCATAGACTCACAGCACGAGAGTCAGTGTTTCTGATTTTGTTCTTGAGTCTGACTTTTTTGTTTGTTTTGGGGTGGTTTTTTTCCCTAAAATCCATTTAGTTTCGCATGGTAGTATTTGCAGAAATACTGCCTTTCCTGGATAATTATTTTCAGGCAATATTGCTTAGATTTTGTGTTTTGTATATACACACTTTGTAGAAGAACATGCAGTAGCAGAACGTCCCGCTTTCGGGCATCATTTATGTCCACTGTAATGGCGTTTCTCCCTGGGGGAGCAGGGAGTCCGCTACGGTTAATAAAATTTACAACAGCGTACTTCGTACAATCGAGTAACAGTGCAGCCTACTTAGTAACGTTTTAAGAACGAGTATTTTTGTCTTAAACTGGATTTGGTTTCAATGATGAAAAAGCACTGTGATGTGGCAACAGGATTGATTGTATCATCCATCCTCCCTTTATGTTTTATGATTGTGGATTATGACAGATGTATGATATGCACAGCTTTGTTAAATAAGCTTATTTTTTAAATTAATGGATAATCACACAAAATATTTTGGAGCTTCTTCTTTTTCACAAGGGTGAAATACTATTTTTCATGTCAGTGTACACTCAATTTTTTTTCTTCTTTTTCTGTAATGTTTACATAAAAATCTTGTAAAACCCCACGGGCTAAACTTGCATTTTATAAACTTGTTTCTCCAAATATACTGCATAAAGCCACCCCCTAACGTCGTATTTTACCAGTGCAGTAGAACCGCTGCTCTAACGTGACATGTTAGAACATGAGAAGTATCTCAGGAATCAAAACAATGTCGGGCTGGGGGTGGGGGTCATGTTTGTGTTCTGGGTATACTGAGTCATATAAATTTTCCTTGAAATCTGTTACGGCCACTACAACTAGATTGTACTGGATGGATGTCTAAATCCATCTACATACACGTAAGTGGGTGTAAGCCATGGAGAACAAGTTTAACCATGACCTTGCCTTGGCGGGTGTTTAAATGGAAAACTAAAGCTTCACCATACCTTAAGGAAAGTTTTCAAATATTAATCAATTGCTAACAAATGTTAGAGATTGTAGACCAAAATAAGTTTGTAGCTAAAAAGAATGTAGTCTACATGTCTGTTAGCAGTTTTATCTACGAGGCTGCTGTTCTACAAACACAAATGCATTTGATTATTTACTGAAGTCTCAATGTAAATATATTCTGTCTCCAGTCAATATATTTGAAGGATTTTCAATGACATACCTTATTTTATTATTTTCTGTCATTTCTGAATGATATGCAGCTGTCACTGAATGAATCACAGTGCGTGCTGACAGGTTGCTTCTTTCCTTCGTTATATTTTTGGTTTGCAACATTTAAGGTTCGGTTCAATGGAAATGTATTAAGTGGATAGAAAATCATGTTTTACATTATTATGTGGCCATTTACATCCAAAATAGGATTCCGGATGGAATGGAAACTTTTCACATACTTTCTGTTTGTGGCTCTGTCGGAAATGACCACCTTTCTTTCC